AATTTCATCCCCTCAAAATTCGTATGTTGAAGTTCTAACCCTCAGGATGTCACATAGGATGTGACTGTATTTGGAGATAGAAACTTTAAAGAGGTAATTAAGGTGAAATGGGGTGAATAGGGTGACACTTAATCCAATCTGACTGTGTCCTTATAAAAAGAGGAAATTAGGACACAGGAACAGAAGGTTGATACTGTGAAGACAGAGGGACAAGACATCCATCTATAAGCCAAGGAGACAAGGCTCAAAAGAAATCCACCCGGATAACACCTTGACCTCACACTTTTAGCCTCTGGAACTGTGAAACGATATTTTCCCATGGCTTAAGCTCCCCACCCCGTGGTCCTTTGTCATGGCAACCTGAGAAAACTATTTAATAACACGTGGAGCTTAGGCTCTGATTGAAGAATATAGTCAACACATGTTTTCAATTTAACAGTTCCTGTGATCCAGGCACTGTGCTGTGTTCCAGCACAGAAGTAGTAAGAAAATTTAAACACAGTTCCTGCCCTTACGGGGTTAACAGTCAGGCAGGGAGGCAGAGGGGACACTGGAGGAATGGATAGTCAACACAGAGACAAAAGCAAAGCTACCCTTCCCAAGAGACCAGCCTCCTATATGCAATCAAGACAGAGCTGAACTTGCACAAGGGGCCGGTATCTCCTTCCTGTGAACTTTTGGCCAAACGACATGCCCTCTCTGGCTTTACTTCCTTCTACTATAAAATAGGATAGATTATAAACCCCACATCATAGATTTCTTAGGAGGATTGTCTCAGTCAATGAACATACAGGGCCTGGCGTACACTTCCAAGCACAAGTCATGGGTCTTTCCTGCTGTCTTTTCATCCCTCATACCAGGTGGTCTCAGGCTAGCTGCTATGAGGGTGTGGCAGTGGTGCAGGATGGTGGGCCAGTGAGAGGGTGAGGAGAAGGCCCCGCCTTCCCAAGTCACAACCCTGAAGCACAGGTTCTGCCTCTCACTTGACTTTCTGTCTCTGCTCCAGCAGGGACTGGAGAGAGACTGGGGGGTGGGACCCTTTCCCATTAAGTCCCTTTCCCTGACTTGCCCTCACCCTCCACAAGCAATTCAAGTGCCTTGACCCTGGCACCGTGGCTGTATGGTACAGCAGGTGGGCAAGCAAGTGAGGCCCAGTCCCATGGATGGTGTCTAGGGAGGACTTTGGGAGCCTGGGGCAAACCTCACGTATTAGCTTCCTTGCGGGGGTGGGCTAGCCTAGGACCCTAAGTCATTGCCTAGAATGCTTGTCTCTGGCAAAATAACCTAAAGTTCAAAGCCCATATTCAGAATGTGAACTAAAATACAATCTTAACCCCCTCAGCAGACTGAATGGACCCCCTCTTAGCCAAGGGGACCCCAGAAATACCCAATAGCTGAGTTGCCGGCCATGAGAAGGGAGGTCAGACATGCCTCATGTCTCTCTCCCTTCTTGATGATGTCCTTTGCAGCTCATTAACAGGCCTAAGGCTATATGAGACAGAGTTCAAACCACATCTGCAGGTCATCAATTTACTCAACAGATCACTTGAGTTTCAGTAAATGGCCAGTGCCTTGTCTCTGTTTAACAGACATCTTTATCTTAAGTTTCAAGCCTTTTTTAGACAAAGCTTCATCTCTTTAACCAATTACAAATCAAAGAATCTTAACCACTTCAGACGAGCATAGACTATAGTCGATAGCCACAGATGAAGGCACACAGACTTTAGCCGACAGCCGTGATATGACTTTTCTAATTTTTCATTTATCAAAATAAAATTGTGAACATTTTAAAATAACATAACGAAAACATATATGTATATGTTACCTATTCTGATTTACATTACAAGTAAAACTGCTTGTAAAGCAAGACAAACTTTCAGTGCTTTAAAGTTTTCCTCATCACACAAGAGCTAAACAGATTCGTGGTCAATGCACAGCACAAGCTATCGTGCAGACTATGAGTGCCGGCTGTGGGCAAGGTTTCACAGCTGGTGAGCGCCATACTGAAGTGGTTAAACTCACCTATTATCTGTAAGCCCCTCCTTAGAGATGTCCCACCTTTTGGAGCCAAACCAATGTGAGCCCTTCATGTATCGATTTATGATTTTACCTGTAATTCCTGTCTCCCTGAAATGTATAAAACCAGACTATAACCCAGCTACTGCGGGCACATTTTCTCAGTACCTCTGGAGGCCATGTGCTCTGGGCCAGTCACATACATTCAGCTCAGAATAAACCCCTTCAAATTATTTTACAGAGTTTGAGTCCTTTTCTGTTAACAAGAACATGACCCCGTGGCCGGGCACGGTGGCTCACACCTGTAATCCTAGCATTCTGGAAGGCCGAGGTGGGAGGATCGCTCAAGGTCAGGAGTCTGAAACCAGCCTGAGCAAGAGCGAGACCCTGTCTCTACTGAAAATAGAAAGATTAATTGGCAAACTAAAAATATATAGAAAAAATTACCCAGGCATAGTGGTGCATGCCTATAGTCCCAGTTACCCAGGAGGCTGAGGCAGAAGGATTGCTTGAGCCCAGGAATTTGAGGTTGCCGTGAGCTAGGCTGACACCACGGCACTCTAGCCCAGGCAACAGAGTCAGACTCTGCCTAAAAAAAAAAAAGAACATTGACCCCTTCTGTGTCTGTGTGCTGACATCTGCTTGAAGAGCCTTCATTTCACTTCCCAGCCTGGGACAAGAAGGAAGGCCAAGGCCTCTGCCTGCCATTCTCGTCATTCAGCCTCCACATTCAATCCTCTAAGGAGGCCCTGAATTTATTGCCATTGTCCCACTACTGCCAGGGCTTTCCCTATTAGAGCGTGGATTACTTTCATTACTGGGGATTGCTACAACCTACGCCAGTGACTTCCCATGGCTATATCTCTCTCCACATCAACAGCTGGGAGCCTCTGGGGCTAAGACCAGTTTCCTCTGCATAGAGGCTGAGGCATCATTGCCCTCAGAACCACCCCTGACCCTTGCCATACTCAAAGTTCAGGAAGTCCAGCCAGGGCAAAGCCTGAGTATGTGTCCCTCTCCCCCCTCCCTCAGCTTTGAAATCAAGAAGGGCATCCTTCTAGCAAGGGACACTGTTAGTAACCAGGAATAAGGTGACAGGGAAGTTGCTAACTGTGATTTGTGACAGATCTTACTAACCTCATCCCAGGGGGAAGGGTCAGGAGATCATCTTATATAGCACGAGAACAAACTTTAGGACCCAGGGCATCTCTGTTTCCTGCTCCTAAACTGGTTTGGGCTGTTTCCTTATCTACAGTCAGACTTTTGGACAAACCAGATTGACCCAACCATCCATACTCATGGGAGTCTGGGAGTCAGCAGGGATCCAAGATAGATGAGGACAGGATTCAAGCGGATATCATTTGCTCTTTATTATTATTCATTATTTTCTTGTACAGAAAGAGACAAAGTTTAACAGCTAAACTCAACAATTGTAAAAAGAGAGAGAGAGAGAGAAAGGAATCAGAAGCAATTTGCCTCCAGGCCCCAGTGAAATGCTGACATGTTACTGAATGTGGACAAGGTCAACACAGGAATACAGCACAGTTTAAAGTGGTACCAAAATTGCTCCATTTCACAGTAATCATTTCTATAAGCTCAGTTGCACATATCAGGGTTTCCTCTGTCACAAATTCACAATTACAGAGGGAAGCATCATGTGTGTCCAGGCCTGGGAATGTGGCATTTGTCAGGGGAGATGACTGGAAGGTAGAAGCAGCTGGGGATTTGTTGATGCTGAAGGTCTGTGCCAGGGGCAGCTGGGATAGGCACTGTTCAGGGTCAGATGGCAGCACAGTGTGACAACTAGGAGGCGTTGAGCCTGACGGGGTGTGCTATTGGGAGATCTTTGTCAGAGAAATTCCTGCTACAGAGAGACTTGCCGCCCACAGCCTGCAAAAGGGAAAGCTCTCTAAGTTGGGATATCTGGGGGCAAATGATGGGTGCGGCCAGTCTGATAGCAAAGCATCTGCTTGACAGAATATTTAGAAAGATACATAATGTGTGTTACTTTACAAAGCAATCTAGTTCACTAACTATGTTATTCACAGGATAAATAAAGGAGTAGAGTGAAAGGCTGCAATACCCACCATCCCCTCAATGGAGAGAGAACCAGAGATCACCCTGTACATACTAGAAGTGCTGAACCCCAAGCTGAAGGCACAGTGAAGGGATCCTTAATATCTTGAGCCTTTTCTTTGAAAAAAGTACTCGTTTTAAATTGGATTCCTCTTACACAGAAGATCCTGAAAATTGACTAAAGGGAAGAATGTTTTTAACGTAGCAAGAATCCCAGCTAATGTGAATTATCTTAAGTTGTGATTTGCTCTAAGTTCTGAATTAGTGGGCTTCAAATTAATGGGCTTTTACTGTAGTTGCCAGCAGTCTGATTACAGTGCTTTTAAATTAGCTAATTATGGTGATTAGTATCAATAGAGTTCAGTGGGGGAGAATGTGCTTGTTTCTGAACTGGTGAAGTCCTGAAATGGAGCTTCAAATACTTGTCAATCTGAAAAGCCTCCAAGACATGCAGCTTTGCCACCCAACTCTCCATCTCAGCCTTGACCGTGAGAGTCCATAGGAGACTGCGCACTTTTTCAATCCTACAAACACAGAGCCTGGGCGAGGGAGCAGGCCTCTCTCCCTGGTATTTCTCTGTCTCTCGGACAAAAGAACAATTATCTAGAGGCAGTGCTGATTTTTTTTCCCTCTTCTCATAGGATGCCATTTGATTGTCAAAGGATCAACTCTAGCTGGGGAGAGGGGAAGCATCTGGCTCCAACTATTTAACAAAAAGACACTTTTCCTGTCCTGAATTCTTCACATTCAGGCTACCAAAAAGGCAACGTCCAACAAGTCAGGCAGATTCCTGTTTTCCAAAGCACCCTAAGGAGTTCACACTAATGGCAGAGGGACAGGCAGAGAGCAGAGGCCTGGGCCTCCCAGCTCAGACTGCTCAGCATCGAGCCTCCCTCAGCCAGAGTGAAACACAGCTGTGTGGGGTGCATGTGCACACTGGGCACCTGTGCACCCCACTCTTGGGCTTGTGCTTTCGTTTTGAAAACCCAAGGCAATGAGGAGCAGGGGAGGGACAGGATTTTGATTCTTGTTTTAAAAAGCCTTAAAAAGTTTTTGGTTGAAAACAAGGAACAGTCATATTTCAAGGAATTTTTTAAAGCCTTTTCTCTTTTTTAATGAAAAATATCTAAATAACTAACCCCACCATACCCAAAGTCAATAGTCACACATCTTTCCACAAAAAGAAAAAAAATGCCCAGGAGGGCTCAGATTTCTTTCGCTCACAAAATAGGAGCCCAGGCCTAGGGCACTGTGCAAAAAGGGCGTGTAAGCCAGTCCCACAGGGCGGAGACCCACAGAATGGAGCTGCTTCATCTTCTTCCAAAGCCTTTTGTGAGGGGGCAGAAGGTGGTGACTTGGGGGGGGGCTCCAATAGCTAATCTCAGCTTTCCCCACTGAGGGCCCCGTCATAAGGCTGCCCAGCCGCAGGAGGTGACATTCCTTCCTTCAGACTGGATCCCTCCTGGTACAAATATAGCCGCACACTGGCTATTGTTTCAGATAAGCAATGAAAAAAGGCAACGTGCACACGTGTACACACACGCACACATACAAGTCCCAAAACAACAAAAATGTGGCTACTGAAGAGTTAGAACTGTATCAAATCCACATCCATACAAAGACAGAGTTTGAAAAGATATGTACATGGCATTCACACAAGCCAAGTGTTCACCACAGGGGTGATGCCCATCATGTGCTACAAAACCATCCGGGAGACTGTGGCACAAGCCCACCTGGAAGGACACTGTGAAGCACCTGAACCGAAGACCACCGGCCTTAAGGAACTGCCTCTGGTTCTCCCCATGGCCTCTCCCCAGCCCCTGAAGGACACATGCTGCCCTCCACAGGCTAGTCCCCAGGCTTCCACTTCCTACTCTCTCCAGCCACCACCCAGCTTCAAGCTATTGGGGGGATGCAGCAGGGAAGGGCACAACAGATGCCAAAGGCAGAGAGCATCTCTTGGCTCTGATCAGTGAAGCCCATGCCTGGCTCCATGCTAACTGGTGAGCAGATGCATTGGGGTGAGTGTCTTCTCACCAGCTCCCAGGTCACAGTTGGGCACCTGCTCGAGAAAACACTGGAAGAGCTGGGGATGGCCCCAGGTTGCCCAACGTGGCTGAATAGGATGGGCCCCAGCCTCTGTCAGGAAAAAATGGGGGACTTCTAGGCCAAAAATCCCTTTGTGAGGAAGGGCAGGGGAGGGAAGGAGGAAGGAAGGAAAGGTGGAATGCCACTTGGTCAGCCTGTCTGGAGCTTTGCAGGGGGGAGGGGCAAGGGGACAGAAAGTTCAACTGGCAGGTGATTGACTCCCCAGGTGGAGACTCATCAGACGTATATGAAGGGCCTTGGCTAAGACTGGTCCCTTATAACTGACACATTTCCAGAAGAATCTTCCTAAGGGCTTACCTCCCTAGCTCCCTACTACTTCAAGCACCTCACAGGCATTAGGTCCTTCAGCTTCCATGGGCACTGTCAGGTAGGGGGAGGGTGGAAAACTCTGGCTGCAGGGTTGAGCAAGCCATCCAAGCTGGTGGCCTCACTGGGATCAGAACATGAGCCTCCTGACTTGAAGTGCAATTTTGGGCAAGTGCCCAGGCCTGGAGGGGCCTCCAGAAGTCATCTGTGGCCTCAAGAGGGGGCTGCATCAAAGACTGAGTCTCAATGTCTGCCTTGGAGAGCTGTTTAGACAGAAAGAAGCTGTCGACTGAAAGGGGTTTAAATCACTGTGGTTGCCAATGGACCTAGGCTGTGTACTCTTTGGGGCTGCACAAAAATTTGCTACATTTTTTAAAGCACCACGGAGGAAAAATAGTTTGGTGCTAAGGCCAGAGGATGGAGATGGGAATGGGGGGAGGTGGTGTCAACAGAATCTTTCATGCAGTCACTGATAGTTAAATAGCAGGTCACCTCTGCCCTACTGCTGTCTAAAGCCTCACAGAAAACAGGCTGGCAGAGCAAACCTCAGATGGACCTTTGACCCCAGGTCATGGGCTCCCCCACAAAGAAATGTTTAAAAAAGAACACTTTAGGATCTTCTCCTCAGGTGGACACCATCCTTAAGGAGAAATCATCAATCTGAAGTTCAATTTCAATGCACCTATTTACAAAAAGGGAAGTATCCTAAAAGTTCAAAGCCAGAGAGCACAGTGCCAAGGAAGCCAAGCTCAAGCTCCTGTTATCAACCTCACAAGGAGAAAACTTCAGCTCCACCCAGCCTGCATCCCAACCATTGGAAGGCCATGGGCTGCACAGATAGGGCCAGGAGCATCAGTGTGCCCCACAGCAGAGTGCTCCAGGCTGTGAGTGGACTCGTGCCAGTGGATAGTGGTTTTAGCATGGCTGCTGCACAAGTCTGCAGAGGCAAAGTCTGGGGGAGGCAAAGTCACATGGGCCCCTTAGTAAATCCATAGGAAGTAGCTCTGCCATCCAGACCCTGCCCCTCATCCTTCGCATACTCTGTCCTCCTTCTAGGAGTGTGGGGAAGGGGGATGGGGTAGTGTTGCAGATCTGTAAGATGGATTTCACTAGGCCTCCTAGGAATGGCCTTGATTCTAGAGTTTTATTCTGTTGTACTTATTATTTATTTATTTATTTGTCATTACTTTTTAAAAATTTTGTCTGTTTCTCAGTCCTTGTGCCTGCCTTCAAAGTATAAGCAAAGATAGAAAGAACAGAACTGTCAAGGGAGAAGGGTGCTGAAGGGCTGGCCTCTCAGTATCCTCTGTGGCTTAGACTTCTATATGCAGGCCTCCAGCCAGCCCCATAGCCCTAGGCCTGGGCCTGTGGCCATCCTGTCCATAATTGACTCAATGGGTTGATTCCTTTGGCATAAGAGAAGCCAGTCCCTGACAAGAGGACAGGATGGTGCGACTTCAGGGGAGTATTCGGAAGAGCTGGACACTAGGGCCTGTAGCTCTTCCCAAGGGGCTTTGACCATCATGCTCCCTACCCCACCCTCCCTAACTGTCTCTGACAACTGACTTCCTAATACTCCATGGTTAGGGAATTATTTGGCAACAAGGAGGCTAAGGCTGCTTTGTGGTGGCACAGTCTTCCAAAAGTTAAGAAGAAAATAGGAGGTCTCTGAAAGAGGCGTTCATACAGGATGGGACACACATCCTACTACTTGTCTATGCCAGGGTTGGCGGCCACTATCTCCTCATACTTTGGGGGCGGGTCACTGTAAGAGACACTGGCCTCCTCACTGCTGCTCTCCCGGGGCGCAGTCACCTCCTCATAGGAGGGGGGAGGGGTGGCACTGGATAGTCTTGAGAGGGAGAGCTCAGGGAGGTAGAAGGTGCTCTCAAGCTGCACTGTGGTTCTGCACCCCCGGCTAGACCCCAGCACCACCTGGGCATTGCTGCTCCCTGCCTCACGGTGCCCAGAGGACTCCCCCTGGCTGTGCACAGTGCCTCGGTACACCATGACCCGGGGGAGGCTGTGCCCGGCGCGACTGGCTAGGTACCGGTTCTGAGCATAGGAGGGATGGTGACGGGTTGCTTTCTGCAGCTGGCACCTCCAGATGATGAACAAGGCTATGACAATCAGCAACGCCACGCCCAGAAGGGGCACCACCACGTACATGGCATCTGAGCTCTGTGAGGGGTCTCGCACTGAGTAGACAGCATTTGGGTACCCCTTCCAGAACTCCATCTGCAAAAGAAGAAGCACCACTTACCAGACATTCACACTCCAGACGGACCTCAGAGGCCTTCAGCAAGGCTGTATCATGTTGGACAAAGCCCATGGCTGCTTCCCACCCTTCCCCATCTGACTGGCCTTGGAGACCTAGCAGCAGAGAAGCTGTGGAATGCACCAAGGACAAAGGACAACGCTTCCAAGTGAAGAGGCCCCCCAAGAGTTAAGCGCTGGGAATGTAAGCACATTTTTGTGTTCCTCTATGGCCCTGTGGCCATGCCTTAGGCTGGGTGGCTTCCCTTCCCCTGCTTCTGATCTACCTGAGACACCAGGGTCTGCTCTCATTATTATTGAGGCCACTCCTACCCCCAGAAGCCAGCCCCAGGGCAGTACATGCCGTTTTCTCTTTGTTCTCAAACACCTCCTTGACCTCCTCGTAGCTGCAGATCTCCTCCATGCACTCGCGCTCGATGGTGCCCTGGCGCAGCTCCTCCAGGAACTCATTGGCACGAGGGAACCGTTTCAGGACTGAGTGGGCATTCTTGGCCTCCAGAAACACTGAAGAGAGAGCTGTACTGAGGCCTGGAATGGCCTTCTATCCAGGCCCAGTCCAGGCATGAAGCATAATCATGGGGAGAAACAAGGCAAAGTGAGCAGGCAAGATGCCAGGCTCCCAAACAAGGGATAGAAAGGCTGATTTCCTGTGGCACCATACATTCCCATCTAGAATACCATGGACCCAACAAGGCCCCTGGTTCTATAGAGGAAAATGGGAACCAACTAAGAGAGAAGTACATGGTGCACAGGGAAAAGAAAGAATAAGAATTTTGAGTATTGTAGTCATCGGTGAATAAATAACCAATATCTTCTTCATCACCTTGAAAAGAGAAAGTCAGAGCCCTTGTTGTGAGAATGTATTCCTCTTTGAGGCTGATGCTGGTGAGATTGTTACCAAATAATCCCATAAAACTCTACCAGGGTGGCATCCCTCCACCTGAACTGGCCACCTATGCTACTAGATCGCCTGGCATCAGGAGTCTTGCTCAAGACAGTCTAGTACCAAGCCAGGCTGGGCTAGATCAGGAGACTGGGCACACATAAACCTGAGAGTCCTCTGGGAATGGGAGGTAGAAGGGTCTGGATGGGGAGTCTAAGCCTTTGGAGATTGGGCACAGACCCCTCCTGCAAAAATGCCTTTGGGTGGTAGCCACATCTCCATGCAAAGGGAGAACCCCAACTCCAGCTGGGCTGAGCAGCGTGACGTGAATCATGCACCCACACAAGCCTGAGCCAAAACTTTAGAGGATGAAAGAAGAGGTGATATTTGCTTTGGTGTTTATCTAGAAGTGGGCCTTCCTAGTTCCCATGTCAGGCAATTGCCCTTGGTGCCCTGGCTGGTAGGTCTTTGCCTGTCACGTTAGTGTCTCTCTAGCAACCCGGGGAAGTACATCCAGCACGTGCTCCAGGAGGGAGCCAGAATTGAGAAGGCAAAGCAGCTGCTCAGCCCATTGTATAATGGCCTCAGGGCCACCCCGGGGACAGGCAAGCTGGGAAAGACTTGAAAGATGAGCATGCGCCTTTCCCATGGGCCCCTGGGTATAGCCCTCCACCACTCCACCTGGGCCTGGAAAAAACTCACCTGCCATGATGCTCCCTCAGCTCCAGGGGCTCACTTGCCTGGCAAAGGAGAAAAGCAAAGTTGTGGTGAAATCACTCCCAGAAACCTGCAGGGTACCCTTTTGGCCCCGGGATGTGACCTCCTGCCCCCACCCCCCGCCAAGCCTGGTCAAAAGGTCCAACCAGGGCCCCTTGCACTGCAGCACCCTCTATGCAGCACTCAGCTCCTACTGCTTCTCATGCTCCCCCCAAACTCATCTCCAGAGCCCCCCAAGGCCCCCAGCAGAGCCCAAAGCAAACCTTTCAGCTATGACCCCCCAAGAACACATTCAGAGCATCTAGAAGATCTAAGGGTTGGCCTTTTTCTTAAAAAAAAAGGAAAACTATAGGCTTAGGCTCTTCCTTCCTTGCTCCCCTCAGTGAATATTTGCACCTTTGAATTGAAAAGGCCCTCAGAGTTAGATGAGGAAATGATCCCAGAGATGCAGGGACTCGAGCAAGGTTAAGCAAAACAACAGTTACAGAGGCAGAACCTGAATTGGGAACTAATTTTGATCACCATGGCAAGTCGCAGATACCTCTAATGACAAGCATGTTCCCCTGAACACAAAGCTTAAGGCAGGAACAACAACCATCTCAGATGCCATGACCTGGTTGAGACTAGCCTCCAAGAACTTTCTGTGGACACATGTCCTGCAGGGTCAGACTCTCCATGTACAACACAGTTGCATTGATGAGATCCCTGGGCATACCCATTAGGCCCAAACCTAGATGACCAGCTGGGCTCATCTTCACCTGACAGGGAGGCAGATACCTGGAATATTCTGGAACCAGGTTTCTCTCCTCTTTTTGCATTAAAGACCACCACAGCAGAGTACCAAGACATGGATTTATATTATCAACACTAAGATGCTAACTGGAAGAGTTGGCTCTAATGTGAGCTACTGTCCAAAGGCCTTCCTCCTGCTAAGGAGCTATCCAGCCAGTACATAAACTGTGGGCACAGCACATTGCTCCTCCTGCCCCTGCCCATAACACACACACCCACTCACACACATATTCCAGAGCACCAGCCAAGCTGTCCACATCTGGGAACAATCACCCCACTGCTTCCCTCTCCAAGCAGAAGCTCTGGTTTTATGACTAACTGGATGCAAGACACGTGAACCATGTAACCCTTTGTGTGCCCCTTTTGGCCTGTGCTGCCAGGAAGTTCAGCATTAGCATTGCCAGTCAAGCACAGGCACCCTGGCAACCCAGCTGTTGAGCACATATGCTTATCTCCTGTGATGAGATATACAGTTTTCTATTTATGTTTTCAGAATCTTATCGTGAATTTATATGTATTCTAATCCTTCCAGCAAACAGATAGGATATAAATCATAAATTTAAAACTAAAGGAAAAACAACAAATCTAACATTCATCTGTGGAAACACCATGTCAAGAGTCATTCTCTTTTGAACCCCACAACAACCTCACCCAAAACTATCAACATGTGAATTTGTCAACAGATGGGCCTGCACTGTGAGAAAATTGGCCTCATTGTTTATCAGAGCAAAGATGGAATATTATCTCCAAATTCTACTTCCATCATGGCTCTCTGAGGTTCATATAGTGAGGACATGGAGGGTTTTTTTGATTGAAGAAAAATGGAACTGTTGTATCTGGTTTGAAAATAATCAGGAAAGGCTTTACTAATAAGAGAAGAGAGAAAAATATGTTTCATTGCTTATCGAAGAGAACTGCAGTGTTTTTAAAAATTTTATGTGGAAAAATTACATAACAAGTTACATATAGCCACCTTTTGTCCCAAACACACCCAACATTGGTGCATGCACACCCACACCTATTATGTGTGTTATCCTGACACACTTGCTTAAAGTCCTTAGTTCATTTTTAGGCTTCAAACGAGCCAGGAAGTCCCCTAAACAGCTCCACTGGCAATTCTGTGGCCACCATCACTGCTGCTGCGGCCTCCCATGAGGCCTTCTACTACCCCCAAAATTTAGCGCCTGCTTCTTCCCCTATAAATACACCATCAATAGGCAGTTACTATGGCAACAGTGAGGAAGCGAGCTTGAGGGCTCCAGGACAGGGAATGATACTGCAGTCACGCATGTATATGTCCCTCCTGCCTCTGGTGGCTACTGTAAAGCTGACTGTAGGCTGAAGGAATTTTTAACCCACTCCCCACAGGAACACAGCTGAATCCTGGCAGCCTGGAGAGGAAGGAAGGAGGGGAACTGGCCACCACAAAGACCTTCCTCGACCCCACCCCAGGCTGAAGCTTCTGAATCACAGCACTCTGAGCACGGCTCCCAAAGTCCCTCGCATGAAGCCTGGTGGCCACCAGTGCACCCGGGGTCCCAAGCCATGGCCTCCAAACCACTTCTCTGAACCCTAGCCCTTTTTATTTCTGTCACTCAGAACTGATCACCAAGAAAGGGTTCTGTGATCTACAAATCTCATGACTCATCGACCCACCCAGTGACAAGGCAGCGCCCAAATGAGGCTGAAACTCTGGGGCCCCCTTGTCCCCTTCCATTCATGACAGCACTGAGAGTGCCTGTCCTCGCCCACCTTTGCCGGACACCAGCTAACTGCCCAGGAACTACTGCTTCTGGCCCAGCAACACTTCTCCCGGGCTGCTCAAGACCCCCAACACCTTGGCCCGGCCAAGACTCCAGATCCCCCCTCCCCAACAGTGCCAGAGCCCAGCTCGGCGGCCCTGGACACCGAACCATGCCCTCGGGGCTGGTGCGCCCAACCCAAGCGGCCTCACCGTTCTCCGGGCCCAGGAGGCGGCCGCCCTGTTTGCGCACACAGCCCGCTACCTCTCTGCTGCGCCTCTTCCAGCAGGGCCCCTGTCCCCGCCCACCTGCTCCCAGTCGGCCAAGCCCCCCGGCCCAGCCCAGCGGTCTCCTCCCTCCCGCCCTCCCCGCGCTGCTGTCCTCCCGCAGCCCCGGGCGCCCTGTAGCCCGCCGGGCCAAGGCCGAAATGCCCCTGAAGCCCCCGCCCCTAGCAGCCTGGTGCCCAGGCCCTGCCCATTACCTCGGCACCCCCCTGCCTGCCCCTGCTCTCCTCTGGGGGCTGCTCCGCTGCCCACCCCACACACCCCGCCGAGCCAGATTTGGCCTCGCGCCCCGAGCCTCGCGCCACGACCCCAGTGCTCCGATCGCCAGGCCGCGATCTTCGCACTGCCCTGCGCAGAGGGCCGCCGGGCCGGCGGGCCAAGGAGTGGAAGGAGGAGTGGGGGCGACCAGAGCGGGCCGAGGGGATTGGGAGAGTGGGCTGGCAAGCTGGGCCGGAGGGGCGGCGGCGCGCACCGAGCACTGCGCGCCCGCGCCCCACTCCGCCGGCGCCGCCCCTGCCCCCGCCCGTGCCGCCGGGGGGCGGGGCCTAGCCGGCGGGCGGGGGACATGCAGGGGACCTTGGCCACCGCACCGGCCCAGTAGTGACCCGGGATGCGGCCCCTCTGGAGACCTGGCGCAGCAGCGGGCTCAGGCGGCCGCTCCCAAGGCCAAGCGTCCCCGCGCAGCCCAACCCCCCTTCTATGCCAACCTGGGCTTACCTGCCATTCTTGCCGGCTGGGCCCCGGGTGCCCTCCAAGAAGACAGGGACGCAGGCCAGTAGCCTGGGCCCGCCTTTTCAGGGCCCCACCGGTATTGCAGAAGAAAGGCTGGGTCGAGGCTGCCTTTGGGCAATGACTGAGTGACCTTGGCTTCCTCACTTACCTCCCCTCACCCTGCCTTGGGAATTCAGGCTTCTCTGCTGTAAAATCTGAGAAATGGGGAGAATCCTTCCTCCCTTGCAGGGCTGTGGCGAGATGAAAGAGAAGATGGGCTTGGGAGACCCTCAGGTGCAGAAAGGGGACAGGAAGGAATCATCTGGGACTGCAAAGAGGGCTAGATGGGGGCCTCCTTCGGAGGCCTCTCTGTGGGAGGTGCAGCATGGTAGGACCAGACACTGGTAGCAGAGATGACACTAGTTTAGGAGGAACCACATGACAAGGACGAGGTTGACTGTAAGAGAGGGGTAAGGCAGTTCCTGAGGGCGCTCATATTCTAGGTCTGAGAAAGCCTCAGAGAGGAGGGGCCTGGTGTGCCCTGCTGGGTCGTCAGCGCTCTTCTTCAAACTCTGCACCTCTAGAGCCCACCCAGCACTGGGATTCGCTTCCGCCCCCTCTTCCCCTTAGCGCAAGTGGTGCCTTTGATAGGAATGAGCCTGAGAAGGTGTCCCTGGAACCACCCCCACTTCCATCCCAGGTGGAGTTACTCAACCTGCCCCAGCTACCAGGGGCTAAGCTCCCCACTGCCCTGGTCCCTGCCCTTCTACCCCCTATGTCCCCCAAGGTGCTTTCCCTTCCATTTCAGCCCCTGTTCTCTGAATTCTTCCCTGGCATGCTGGCTGTCCTAGGCTGCAAGAGTCTGTGGCACTCCACACATTGAAAGCAGGGAGGGCCACACCCCAGGCCTGTGGGACAGGGTTCCACAGAAAATAACCAAGATCACCTGAGGATGAGAATGGGGCTCCTTTGGTGCCTAAAGGACTGAGTATGTTTTCGAGGGAACCCCAATTCAGGGGGAGAGAGCTGGGGTCATGACTGGTGGGGGAACAGGTTGGGGCTCTTCTGGGGCTAACCTCCCGAGTTTGCTAGCGCACCAGCATGTTCCCATCCTGATCTCAACAGCCATAGACCCTCGCGCACACAACCGTTGAAAGCATACCCATTCCAGAATGCCCGTAGGGGTCTACGCACCCCCTCTTGAGCTTCTGGCTCAAACAACACCAGCCAACTTCTAGTTCCCTGTCTGCCTGGAATGCCTTTCCTCCCACCATGAGCCTGGTGCTCTTGCATTCATTCTTCCCACACAGTGCAGAGACTGGGAACATGGAGGCCTCTGGGGATGGCAAGGGATGGGAAGGGGAAAGAGCACTGCCTCTGGAGCATAGTGCAGTCTCAGCAGTACCACATAGTGGCTCTATGATCTTCAGCAAGTGACTTAACCTCTCTGCATCTCAATTCTCTTATCTGTCCAATGGGAATGATGCTAACAGGGTAAAGGAGGGAATCTTGCAGTGTGCCTGGTGCTTAAGTGTGAGCTGCACTGCGTTCACGGGGTTGCACACGTAGGTTGCAAGAGTGTCTCCTCTTTGGGGGTCAGGGACCTGTCTCTTCCTATGTCCCTAGCATCTGACACAGAGCCTCATTGGTAGAGGTGCTCACTAGATCCTTGTAGAGCTGAGGCTAGAGGTGCCTGAGGTGAGGAGGTGGAGAGAGTTAGCTTTCAACATACAACCTCAATGTCCCCAGCACCAACAGTAGCTCTAGCTCCCGCTTCCTTCCTGTGGAGTGCCTGAGTCTTGGGACATCAGCTTCCCCAGACTCTTTGGCTTCCTTAAGGGCTTTCTAACTCCCCACAGCATGGCTCCAAGCACTCCTGGGGACTGGCAGGGGAGGGCTGCAGCCGTCCCTCCATCCCTCCTGCCACGTGATTTTAGATCTTGGTCTTAACAATGCTCCCTGAAGCAGTTTAGGAAGGGCTTGTCCATTGGATTCACTGCCTGGGCCAGACACTGAGCAGTTTAGTGTCTTCAAGTGGCTTTCCTTTCCAACCAAATTGCAATGACTTTAGCTTCCCCTTAGGCTACTGGCACAGCTCAGACTCTCATCATATAAATGAACCTTCATCCCTCTCCCCACCTCCATCACAGCCAACATTCACCCTTCTTTTACCTCTGCATTGGTGAGCTCTCCAAACACAGTTTGGCACATCATAAACACCCCTGTTTTCTGAGTGCCTGTAATGTGTGAGGCACTGAATTAACGGTTTTGGGAGGACACAGCTCCAAGAGTTCATGCTATAGTTGCTAAAAGAAAAATTAAGACGGCAAAAGGCAGATCATAATTCAGCAAAAATTCCCAACATGATGCAAGAGGACAGACCTTCCATCCAGAAATTGATCTGACTTCTAACCTGTCTCCATTTCTCTTCCAGATCCCATTCAGAAAAGCCAGCTTTGTGGGTGTATGACCAGTGGGGTCAGATAGGATCCCGTGCTTAAAATGGCTGAGTATACTTTGTTCAAGACCTTGATGTCACCATCTTAATGTTTTCAAATAAGAGACCTTTGTTTTCATTCTACCTGAGCTACACAAAGTATGTACATGATCCTGCCTATGGGTGACATTTCCAACACCCCAATCCTATTCCAGGGTATAGGATTGTCAACCACCCACCACTCCTCTGACTCCTCACCTTCTTCACTCTGCAAGCCAGGGCCAGTCCCTCCTATCCTCATGTCTCAACTCCATCAATTCATCTCTTGCCCTCACATGGCCTCTCCCAACCCCATCCCTGCACCTCATCCTTTGGCTGAGATGAGTGCCCTCTGCCAGCCTCATTCACTCTTTCCCTGACACTCATCCATACCAGAATTGAACCTTCTCTGAGTTCTACTACCTCTTCATCCCCTTATGTCCTTACCCTCACTAACAGTGACCCTTGCCCTATAAGTGCCTCACTCCATCCCTGCACACTGATTAACCAATCGGGTGTTAGGGGCTGACTTGTGTCCTCCAGAATTCATATGTTGAAGCCCTAACCCCCAGAACCTCAGAATGTGACAGTATTTGGAGATAGAGATCTTAAAGAGGTAATTATTAATAAAACAAAATGATATAATTAGGGTGGATCCTAATCCAATAGGACTGGTGTCCTTATAAGAAGAGAAGATGAGGACACAGACACCCACAGAGGGACAGCCATGTGAGGACACAGGGCAAAGGTGACCATCTACAAGCCAAGGAGAGGCCTCAGGAGGAATCAACCTTGATGACAACTTGATCTTGGACTTCTTGCCTCCAGAACTGGGAGAGAATACATTGCTGTCGTTTAACCCCAATTTTCCCAGCCTATGGTACTTTGTCAAACAAAACCAGCAGCCTGAGCAAACTCATATATCAGGTATTTCCTCAGTGATATTATGTGGCAGGGGCTGTTCTAGGATCTGGGATTACAGAAGCCAACAAACTAAACAAAAACTCCTACCTTCTTGGATATTGGACAAAAAAGCAGGAGTCAAAGATACAAGCTGCTGGATGATGACTGGTGCTGTGGGGAAAATGAAGCAGAGATTTGAAATAAGGCAGTCAGGGAAGGCTCCACAATGAGGATGGCATTTGAGTCAAGACTCAAAGGAGGTGAGGGGCCATCCTGTTCCGGGTCAACAGATCCACAGTGCAAGAGCTATGGGAGCAGAGGCAACCCTGGTGTATTCTGGGGTCAGCCAGGAGGCTGGTGTGCTAAAGGGTGAGCAACAGAGGAGAGTGGTAGGGGATAGGGTCAGAGAGATCAAGATGGGGGTGACGAGGAGTCGTGCAAAATGATGTGGAAGGTTCTGAGTTAAGGGGTACTGTGGCCTAATTTCCTTTTTGTTTGTTTGTTTGTTTTTTATTTCGGCATATTATGGGGGTACAAATTTTAAGGTTTCAATAAATGCCCATTCCACCCTCCCCTCACAAGTCTGAGTCTCCAAGAGAGAGAAATGGGCACTGATCAACTACAAGTTCTGCAAGCCAGTAATAGTCATGAATTCAAACGACACGCTACCGAATGGGAGAAATTTGCATCTATGACCGATAGGACTGGATAACTAGAATATACTTAGGAACTCACAAATCAGCAAAAATCAATAATCCTATTAGAAAGTGAGCAAAGGACTTGACAGTTTTCTGAAGAAGCACAGAGAATGGCCAAACTATGAAAATGCTCACATCTCTAATCATCGGGAAATGCCATCAACAAGTGAGACTCACATTAACTCCAGTGAATGCCTTTATCAAAAGTCTCAATAAATGCTGGTGTGGATACGAGAGGAGACACTCTACACTGCTGTTGCGACTGAACTAGTTCACTCTGTGGAAAGCAATATGGAGATAACTTAAGTGATACAAGCGAATCTCACATTTTGAATCCAGCATCCACTTCCTGGGGCATTACCCAAAGATCATGACACTCTACAAAAGAACACTGCCAGTAGAATAGTTTATAGCAGCACATTATAATTGCAAGGTGTGGAACAGCCAAGTGCCATCAATCAAGAGTGGTTAATAAAATGTGGTATTGTATCATTGGGGATTATTCAGCTCTAAGAAACAAGGTGTATAGCATCTTATATTTTCCTAGTTAGAGCCTGGACCATACATAGTGAATTTTTCCAGAATGGAACAAGCCCATCTACTCCCACCAACTTGGTATTAACTGAACGCCTAAGTGGTACATGGTCTACAGTAATAGGTATTGGGCGGTGGAGGGGGAGGGGGGGGTATATAACATACATAATGAGT